GCATCGCATCTGAAGGGCATGGGGAAGGAACTGACAAAAACAAGTGGAAGGCCTGCTGGCCTTCGTGGAGGTGAGAGCTGAGACTGTTTAGCAAGACACCTGCACACAGCGCCACAGTTTCCTGCGTCACCACTCGGCTACGACTTACAAAAGCAGGAAAGTCCAGTTATAAGACTGACTGTGGAGGTCGTGGAGTTGGAACGGTGCAAGTGAGGGAGTAAAGAACTTTGCAGGAATTGTCCGCGTGGTTCATACTGAGTAGTGAAGCTAGTGAGGGCAGGACAAGGCAGGACAAGACTGGGGAAAGTATCAAGGGGTCAGGGGATGCACAGTGCCAGTGACAGCCAGCAGTTTCTCAGCTCCTGGAGAGACCTTTCTTTTCCAGCTTTACGTGGCGTTCTGTGCTTACCACCCTGGCTCAGAGGCTTTCCAGGTACTGTGGCAGGCCTCCCGTAGCGATGTGTGTGTGTGGACTGTCGCGCCATGGTCCAGGTGTGTCGCGCCCTGACATAACAGGTCTTGGATTTGAAGAAGCAGCTTACCTGGAGGGCTGCCCGCCTCTCCAGCCCTGCTACGCGGGGCCTGCTGCTGCGCCCAGGGCTGTGGGAGAATACACACACGGTGACCCAGCAGCAATCAGGCCCAATTTATGAGAAGCTGTGATGTGTCAAACCATAAGTATGATTGTAACCTCTTCATTCCTTTTCCTTTGAGAAAAAGAAGAATAACCATCTATTTACAGAACTATATGGACACAAACACTGTTTTCTCTAAATTCCATTTGACTTCTGCCTTAAGATGTGGTGAACATTTATTAAAAGGAATGCTCCTTAAAAATTAAATATAATTATACTACCCCAAAAGTTTTAATGTTTAGCTTCCTCATGAGCACTTAGGTTCTTTGGCATCTGACTATTGTAGTGTGAATAATAAAATGTCTTCTGCACAAGATACGGGACACCAAGCAATTTTTGTAACCTGGAAAGCCACTAAGTGTGCCAATAGGTTTTAGGAAGGAGTAGCCCAAACAGTTTACCTTATGCTTAAAATACTAGTTTCTTATGAAATTTTTTTTTGTAAAGATGTTTAAATAGAAGTCTACTTTGTATTTCATAAAATGTTTTCAGAGACACAGTAAATCATGACCGTAGAAAAAATAGGTGATTTATTTGCTAGGGGAAAGTCAGTCATCTGCAAACTAGAAGTGCCACCATGTGTCAGGTGCTGGATAGAGGGACAGGAGCAAGACCTGGCCCTGTTCCTGAGGATTCCGTCATCCACTGGCACTAGAGGCACCTGACGAAGCAGGTAGGACGTAGTGTGGTGAGTGCTGTGGACAAGCAGGGAGGATGATGCAAGTGGCTGACTGTTTACCACCCGCCCGAATCCTCTTTGGAAGAACTTGGGGGTCGGGGCGAGGTGTACAGAACACAGTGCATACTCTGCCTAGGGGATTCTGGGTAAGCCTTTTAAAGATGGCAGTGAGCTGAATCCGAAAGGATGTGCAAAAGTTTGCCAGATGCAGCACGTCCAGAAAGGACATGTGAAGAGCTGGAGCAGCGCACAGGCAGGCGAAGGCGCAGGGGAAAGCCCATGTGGCGGGTGTTTCCAGAGCCAGCAGGGAGGGCCGGGCACAGGGCTGAAGGCGAAGGCTGGGCCAGCTGTCAGAGCACCCTGGACACCGGGGGTTGGCCAGTGAGCTGACTTTTAGTGACCATCTTCAGTATTGTTTTACCAATAAGAAAACCAAGACTCAAAATTATACTAACTTGCCCAAACTGTACAGGAAGTGGTGGGCCCAGGATTAGCCCCAAGTCTCTTCAGGCGTCAAAGCCTGTGCTCCTGTCCCTGCCCCATGCTGCTGCTCAGCCTGCCTTCACTCCATTGGTAAAAAGGTCTTTAAACCTTGTTGTTGTTGTTGTTTTTAAGTGGTGAAGCCCGTTTTGCAGATAAAATCTGAACCCCAAACTCTTAACATATTGAAACAGATCAGATTTTCATTAGCATCATTAGTATAAATTTATTTCATATTTAAATTTGTAACAGAGAATCAATTAATGAGAACAATGACTTTCTTTTTAAGAAGCTCTTTTATTTTGGAATACTTTTAGATTTACAGAAAAGCTGCAAGGATAGCACAGAGGGGTCCCATCTACCCCACACCCAGCTTCTCCACTGTTAACATCTTACATTACTATGTTACATTTGTCATAACTAAGAATTGGAACATTATTAACTATTTACTAAACTCCATACTTTATTGGGACTTCACCAGTTTTTCCATCAATATTTTCTTTCTGTTCCAGGGTCCAGTCAAAGCACAAGTTACAATGACTTTCTTTTCACAAACACTAAAACATGAAGTCAGGAATTATGTTACATTATCACATGCTCACTTTGTGACTTTAAGATACTGCCTTGAATACTTGGAAGAAATACTATCTGTCAAAGTCCTGGACTAATATTGCAACAAGTGAACTGGATGAGCAGCTGGCTCAGTTGGTCTAATTATCTGATGATGCAGCCCAGAGGAGAATACGAGAATGCACACCCAGCAAACTTGATTTAGTCTGTCTCAGTCAGCTCAGGCTCCTAGAACAACATACCATAGACTGGGTAACTTAAACAACATAAATTTATTTTCCCAGAGTTTGAGAGGCTGAAAGTCCCAGATCAAGGTGCTGGCCAATTTGGTTCCTGGTGAGGGCTCTTTTCTTGGCTTGTATATGGCCGTGTCCTCATGTGGCCTTTTTTCTGTGCGCACTCGCAGAGAGAGATCTGCCTCCCTCTTCTCATAAAGTCACCAGTCCTATTGGACTAGGGCCCCACCCTTATGTCCTCATTTGACCTTAATTATCTCCTAAAGACCCTGTCTCTGAACAGGTTGCATTGGGGGTTGGGACTTAAACTTATGAATGGGGGGCAGAAAGGCATGCAGTTCAGTTCCTGGCATAGTCCAGAAACTTAAATTATGTGAAATCTTTATAATTCAATCATGAGACAGTATGACATCTCCATTTTGTGCAGTATGTTTATGCAGATAAAGATGTATTATTTTGTAAAACACTTGACAGCATACAAGAAAATGTTAAATCATATTTTAATGCACCATTAAATAAGTTAGCAAAGAAAATGTAGTATCATTTGTGCTGATGGTGTAAAAGCAATGGCAAGAAAAAAATTTCAGAAGTAGTTGTCTTCTAAAAGTAGTTACCAAAGTTTTCAGGTGGTCATTAGGTTTTTCATAGATCTTAAAAGATATGGCATCCTTTAGGCTGTGCACTGTGGCATGCGCCTGTAATCCCAGCTACTTGGGAGGCTAAGGCAGGAGGATCACTTGAGGCCTGAAGTTTGAGGCCAGCCTGGGCAACATAGTGAGACCCCCATCACTAAAAAAAATAAAAACAAAAGATATGGCATCCTTTAGAAAAATGCCAAACAATTATTAATTATTTGTTACTAGTGTGGGCAATGAGTTCTAGAATTTACTATCCCATGCCAAAGATATTAATACAGTAAACTGTATTAAAGCAGAGTGCAGGTATAGACACTTCACATAAAGTAAGAAACCACCGGGGTTTGTTTTGTTTTTGACAATAAAGAAACTTAATTGGCTAAATTTTTTTTGTTTCTTTTTGAGACAGAGTCTTGCTTTGTTGCCCGAGCTAGAGTGAGTGCCATGGCGTCAGCCTAGCTCACAGCAACCTCAGACTCCTGGGCTCAAGCAATGCTTCTGCCTCAGCCTTCTGAGTAGCTGGGACTACAGGCATGTGCCACCATGCCCGGCTAATTTTTATATATATATATATTTTTTAGTTGTCCAGCTAATTTCTTTCTATTTTTTTAGTAGAGACGGGTCTCGCTCTTGCTCAGGCTGGTCTCAAACTCCTGACCTCAAACGATCCTCCTGCCTCAACCTCCCAGAGTGCTAGGATTACAGGCATGAGCCACCGTGCCCGGTCTAATTGGCTAAATTTGCCTTAACTACAGCATAGTTGCCCTCTTGCCTGTCACTTCTCAAGTAGTTAGCATGGGATTGAAGCATTACCCATGGCCAATACTGCAAACCAAGTAGGGCCGCAGTAAATGTGCTGAGTAAATGGCTGTTACTGCTGGTGTTTTTGGTTTGAGATGTGGAGTGAATGGTAATGCTGTTAATCAAGAAAAATATGGGAGGAGAAATAGATTTAAAGGTAGGTAGGAGAGCATTTGAAGTGTCTTCAAGAGCGATAGGTAGAGATACTCATTTAATCTTTGGAATTTTAGAAAAAAAACAAGTAACATTCTGGGATAATTGTAAGTCATCATTTGAAAGCAAGTTAAAAAATTTAAAGGGGGTATGCCATTGACTCAGTTTATTATGGGGTAGAAAGATTAATAAGGAGAAGAAATCATTTAGGCTTAAAAAACTGCAAAATGGGTGACTAGTTGACCAGTGTTCATCTAGGAAAGCTGGATTTATTACCCTTTCAGTTTTATTGCTATAGTGATATTTTATCAGAGTATTCTGTTAGTGTTCCAACATGTAAATTATGGTTTGTTCAATTAGTAAAGAACTAATTCAACAATAGCTTGATTTTCCTTTGATGAAACCCCTGTTAAGAGTTTACACTCAACCCTTGAGTTCATAAGTACATCCTTCAGTTGGAATAATTGTATCCAAAAGTACAGCTGAAGTCTAGAGCTTCAGTTTTAGTAGCATGAGTAAAGTGTAGCTCTTTTTCAGTGTATTTTTTTAACAGTGTATTTTTTTAACTTCTGTCACCAGCTCTTCTCACTTTCCCAGCTCACATTCCTCTTTGACTCTAGAGTCTCACGGAAAAGTATGAGATAGGATGGTCTTTCTGCGGAGTCTTCAGCAACAGAGCCGCCTCCATCTTTGGCTTGCTTTGGAAAAGCTGAAGCTGTTCACCAAAACTGCGCTTTGGACTGCTCCTAAGCCTGGGACAAACTCCTGCAGACTGGAGAAAGGTGCTCACGGGCCTGTCCTCTGTTTGCAGGTGGTCCCCATGCTTCCCAGGCTGCTGTGTGAGGAGCTGTGCAGCCTCAACCCCATGACTGACAAGCTGACCTTCTCTGTGATCTGGACGCTGACTCCAGAAGGCAAGGTAACAACTTACATGTTGTCCTTTATCTGCTTCCTATCATTCCATTCCATGAGTTTGGGTAAGCACTGCTGTGTGCCTGGCACTGGGCTGGGGTGCCATGGTGATAGGGCAAGGAAGCCAGAGAAGAAATATAAGAGCCCCTGCCTTGGAAGAGCCATCAGTCCCACTTAGGAGGCAAGACTGGGCCTAAGGACTTTGTAACAAGTGACTTGTTTCTTGTCTATTATTAGGTAAAGGAAGAAAGTGGGTAAGCAAAGTAATGTGGGAGAGGCTTAGCGCAGGATATAGGTTTTCAGCAGCAGTGAGTGTGGATTGGTAAAGGCAGGAAGGGTTGCCTGAGCTGCAGGTAGGAGGAGGTCAGAGCCCTTGGGGAAGGGGGGAGAGTTTTCATAGATGGGGTAGAATCAAACTGTGGAGAGTCTCAAATGCCAGTCACAAATGAATTGCAGGTGTTAGGGTTCCTCTGAAGTGTCATGAGAAAGGTAACTTTCTGGAAAGATTAGTGCTGCATCATTATGCAGGATGACCAGAGGTGCGAAGACGAATTAGCAAGGTAGTGCCATAATAAAGGCACAAAGTGATGAAACCATGGACTAAGAACAGAGGGAGAAGAATATCAGCAGGCAATCCTCGACACAGGGATGAATGAGGGAGGTAAGTGGAAGATGACTCCAGAAAAAACTAGTCCCTTCCCCCAACAGAAACAACTCCACACTCCAGAAAATAGGGTCGTGATTAAGTAAGCCATGGTACCTACTCAATGGAATATTATGCAATTATTAAAGCTGTTTACAGAGACCAAGGAAGAACATGGGAAATGTTTATACTGTAATATTAAATGGAAGTAAAAAAAATATTTAATTATAAAGAGGTTCCAAATAAAGACGGAGGATCGAATACCCACATTTACTTTCATTCCATCCCAAAACCTCACTAAAACAACAGTAAAGAGATTTTTTTTTAAAGACATAAACCCACAAGGGCAAAGACAGTGGGAGAAGAGACAACAGCAACAAAGTTTTGGAAGCTGGGTAGCAGATGGATGAGTGGTAACTGACTTAGCAGTCCTGAGAAAGCTGAATCCTGAGCCAGCAATAGAGAAAGCCAAGACACAACCCAATTTACATAGCAGAACCCTAAGAAAATTCAGAAATTGACACCACCAGATAACTCTAGAAGGTGGGGGAGGGGTGAGGGGAAATGAGGCTAACAACAGTATTTGTTGAAAGTGTATTTAAAAAGATTGCCTTTTCCATAACTTAATAGAAGACCAGAAACTTACTCTCTGGACAAGGTAAGCTAAGGGGTGTTTGAACTAGAGGACGGCAAACACACTTGTTGGTCATGGTAACTTAGGGGCAATTGAGTGAATGTTGAGTACTGAATGGTAAGGGTGCCAGCTCTCTTTTCCCTGCCAACCCCAGAACTGTGGTAGGCAGACTTATACCCATGAGTCAGGCAATGAGAAATCTTTCTCTGGGGAATCTGAGTAGTGAATAAAAAAACTTAAAGATACTAACCTTGAGGACTTCCCAACCAACAACTCAGCCATGTCCCTTGCGGGGACAATGAGCTCCATCCACACAGTCAGAGCTTTTTGGGATTTCACTTTCATGTATGAATAGACAAGCAAATGGAAAGCCTCTAATATGAAATCGGAAGACAAAGCAAACAGGAAAAAAGCAACTAGAACAAAACACACTAACCAGGGAAAAGAGACTATCATTTATATCTTTAGAGAATTTTTTAAAGAGAAAGTATATCACAAGATCTAGATACTTTAAAAAAGAAACATTTGGAAGAAAAAAAAGAGCTTTTGGGAATTAAAAACAGGGTAGCAGAAATGAAGAAGATTTAAGATTCTGGTTGGAAGGTAAAGTTGAGGAGTTGTCCCAGAAAGAGATAGAAAAGAAAATTGGAGGACCAGTCTAAGATAACCCAATATCTGTTCCATGAGAATTCCAGAAATAGAGCACAAAGAAAACAAAGGGGAAGAAATGATCAACAAAATAATTCTAGGAAATGCCCCATTACTGGAGGGTATGACTTTTGAGATTGAAAGAGCTCACTGCTTAGCACAGTGGTGGAGACACATCATCTCCAAGACACATCGTCATGAAATTTGGGAACACTGGGGGCAAAGAAAAGATCCTGTAGGCTTCTAAGGAAGGGAGAAAAAGCCACATACAATAGATCAGAAATCAGGATAACTGCAGACTTTTGTACCACAACTCTAGAATCTAGGTGACAGTAAAACAAAGCTTTCTAATTTCTGAAAGACTGTGATTACCATGCTAAAATTCTGTACCCAGCTAAGCTGTCAGTAAAATGTGAGGGTGGGAAAGGACATTTTCAGACATGCAAGGAATCAAAAAAAAATGTATCTTTCATCCACCCTTTCACGAGAAGCTGCCAGAGGATATGTTTCACCAAAATGAAGGAGAAGCGAATCAAGAAAGAGGAAGACATGGGACCCAGGAAACAATATCCAATATAGGAAAGAAGTGAAGGAATCACCTAGATCAGGGGTTGGCAGACTTTTCCTGTAAAGGACCAGATAGTAAATATTTCTGGCTTTATAGGCCCCACTGTCTATGTAGCAACTAGTAAACTCTCCTTCATGTCTGTCTGAAAGAAGACATTAAACCGGATCCTCGTATATGCTTCTACATTCAGTCTGTTAGAATAAGTTGTTTTGGTTGAAGTATATGAAAAAAGTCCAACATCAGATAGATAAGTAGTTGGAAAAGAAAGGAGCACTTTGATAACTTTTCCAGATAATTGTGGATAGTCATCTTTGTACTACACCAGAATTTAACAAATTATTTCTCAAAAGTTAATTGCAATCTCGAATCTGGAACCATACCTTCTGTGGACTGAATTTGTGTCCCCCCAAAATTCGTATGTTGAACCCTCCCATCGTGACTGTATTTGGTGATAGGGCCTATAAGAAGGGCCTATAGTAAAGGTTAAATGAGGTCATAAGGGTGGGGTCCTGATCCAATAAGATTAAAAAAAGAGTACTTGCACTCTCTTGTATTCCCTGCTACCATGGGAGGACACAGCAAGAAGGTGGCCATCTGCAAGCCAAGAAGAGAGCCCTCATGGGGAACCAAATTGGCTGGCACCTTAATCATGAATTTCTAGCCTCCAGAACCATGAGAAATAAATTTCTGTTGTTCAAGCCACCCAGTCTGTGATATTTTGTTATGGTAGCCCTAGCAGACTAATACGATATCAGTTGATTTTTTTTTTATACTAGGTTACGTAAAAATCCGTTGGTCTGTCTTTAACTTTGAATGGCTCTTTTACCCATGTATGATTTCTTAATGTTAGAAAATATCATTTAGAAATATTGGCTTATTATGCCAGTCTTCTAAATTTGCACACATTTCATTATATAATATCAAAAAATCACATTTGTTAATGCCACTATATTATCACATCTTATCAGAGAAGTCTTTAGGTATTAGGAAACCATCAAGCTCATACATCAGATACAGGGTTTCCAAAATTCTGATTTTTGTGAAAGTTTGAACTTTATCACTGGCAATAAACGATGTCAAGTTGTTTTCTTGAAGTGCCAAATATCCAAGTCTAAATAACTATAGTTTTTGTGTCAGTTGTTTCTTTAAGTAAAAATGGTGTCCCATATAAAAGCATCATCTCCCAGATTCAGGTACTATCAAGATTTTTGGATTGCTAAAGTATTTTAAAACAAACCAGACAAGTCATTTCACTCATACCTATTTCAATATGCAACTCTAAAAATTGTGGGCATTTTGTTATATAACCATATGCCATTAGCACACCTAACAATGAATACTAATGCTTTGCTGTCATCCAAAACCCAGTCCATGATACATTTCTCTGATTTCTCCAATTGATTTGTCTGAATTCAATCAAAACAAGTTACACACATTACATTTGGTTTTTATGGTTCCTAAATATCTGGTAGAATGTTTCTTTTTAAGATTTAAGAGGCAAACACTATCTGAATTACAGAGAAGGAATTGTGAATACAGTGTGCCAGCAATCATATTTTAGTGGGGGGTGGGAGCATACATAGAGAAAAAAATGAATGGAAAAAGACCAGAAGGAAATAAAACAGAATGCCAGTAATGGTTGTGTTTGGGTAGTAAGACCATGAGTAATTTTTTCTACTTTTTTTTATTTTCTAATGTTTTTTTGAAAACATGTGTAACTTTTATATTTTTATAAATGCTTATTTTTGTGAAAGTTTAACTAAATAGAAAAAAAAAAAGCCCATAGAAGAAAACTAACTTGAGTCAACAGAAAAGAACTTGTGAGTCTGAATTATCCCTGCCAGGGTTAGACCCAAGAAATAAAAAGCTGCCTGATCTAATGAGCTTCTAAAATATGAGGGTCATAAAAGAAGCACTAGAAAGTGGCAGACTCTGCAACTCAGTTGACCCTTTGGGTTTCTATTGGAGGCAGTATCTGGGACCCAGGCCTCTGGCATGAGGGGCTGGAGAGCAGGTGTGTAGACGCATGGTCCAGGAGGGGCACTGGGCCTCAGCACAGACCACACCACGTAGGAAGTATGAGGGTTTGGACTACGAACACAGCTGTGGAGTAAGGCCCACTAACCACACTCCTTGTACTGTGGTTATCCAAACACCCTCCCCAGACCAAGGGACCACATGAGAGGTAGCCCTGGTTGGTTGCTCCTGGGATGAGTATCTCTTACCCACAGTCAAGATACATGAACTGAGAGGTCAGATTCCAGACTCATGTCCGAGGGATGGTGCTTGTTCAAGACGCTGGCAAGGAAAGCCTGAAGCAAGGGGTGGGGGACAAAGTTTGGAACCAGATGGGAGGGTCTGGGAACCAGAGAAGGCCAGCAGAGCAAGGAGTAGCCCAGCATCAATAACCCAGTGAATGGAGAGGAGGGCGTCTGAAGCCTGTGTGGCTGAAACCTGAGGCTGCAGCAGTGGCTGCATGTAGTGGTGGCTTCTCTTGGCAACAGGGCTTGGACTTAGAAGGAGCTAGAGCAGGTTCAACAGCATTGTGTCACTACTACTACTGTGTGGCTGCCAGTCTCACCTGGAGGTGAAGTAGAGAAAGCTTTGCAATTTTGCTTAATCTCTTGGAATGTCTTACTTTCTGGAGCAGGCGTGGTCAGCTATAGAAAGACTGTTCCAACTTTTTTTTATACCCACCAAGTTTTTTTAAACACCCACAAGAAAATCTAGGACATTTATGCATTCTTTAAGCCAGTGCCCAGATTTTTGTCAATAAACTCTGAAGAATCCATTTTTAGCATATTTCTTACATTTTGATTATATGAGCGTTGTTCTCTAATGTAGACATTTGTGATTATATATTGTCACAGGGGGCAACTCAACCAACTAAATATAAAATATTTAGTTAAATATAGAAAATTGATATGTATTTGAGATATACTTGGTTTCTTTTACTTCGTCATCTATCTTTGTCTATTTTATGACCTTCAGCTGAAATACAATAAAAATAACACTAGATTTTGAGTCTAAGTCTTTAGACCTGGATCTGGTCTTGGCTGCCACTTAGGAGTTTGTATGACTTTTGACAAATCCCTGGCCTGTTTTTTCAACTGTAAAATGGGCCAAACAATGCATTCCCCCGGGAATGTTAAGGAGATTTTAGAAGGTAGTAGTTACAAGAATACGATACTAATGGTGTTATACTATTTTTAGTCTTACTTAGTACAGTAAGTAGGTCTTGAAGTATGATGTCTTAGTAGATATTAGGTGCTCCTTTTTAGCCAGATATTTTTCTAGTAATGTGCCTTTAGTTGATGTTGGCGCTACATTTAATCTGACATTCTAAACAGTGATATTCTAGAGGGTGTGCAGGAAACTCACCTGCCTGCAGAAGGGAGTGACCCCAATCCTTTGATGAAGTAAAGGAAAGAGGAAGGACTTGATCTTCTTTCTGAAGGATTTTATTTATGAATCTCCTTGTGGACTTTTTACTTTTTCCATGAAAAACTCTGCCCTTTTGTCTTCTGCCACTGGCCTTGGTTATGGACTGGGTGTTGATGTGAATACAGTTTCCAATTTGGAAATTAATGAGGTGTTCCATCCGGAGAGGCCCGCCTTCCATACTGTGAGGCCGGCTGCTCCTGGGACCCCCTCCATTTGGATCTTCACTTTCCTGCTACCTTTCTCTGTCAGGAAGCAACAGGCATCCTTTCTTTTCTGCTGGCCTTTCCCAGAAGATGGTTTCCCTGGCCTAAGAATTTTTTTAGTACATCTGTCAGATGTGACTCCCAGAAGCACTGGATTGTGTTAGGCAGGGTAGGTTCTGCTGCCAGAGGCCTCTGTCACTGAGCAGGAAGTTCCTGATGGCTCTTCAAGCTTCCACCTCAGCTCTTTGTATGTTGAAAAAGACGGTTGAGACAGATTTTCTGGGGTGCAGGCATTAAGGGGAGAGGGCTAATGTGAGGTGAAAGAGCTTACAGGAAACTTATCATCTCCACTGTAGTGTCATATTTTGTGGTGTTCATGGGTGCTGTTAAGAAGGCATATCTGTCTTGACTGTAAGGAAACAGAGGAGCAGAGGTGCCCATTAGGGAAAAAAAAAAAAAAAGTGGCTCAAACTAACTGACAGCGTGTTGCCAGTGGGGCTGTAAGCAGGTTTGGTAAGGAGTGGTAAGCTGCTGATTTGAGGCAAATTACAGGTAATCAATTTTAAGAATGCCTCAGGATTACAGGTGGCCCTGGTCAGGGCTCAGCAATCACAGGGTTAAGCAGGAGCAACCAAGATGTATTCAGAGCCAGGCGACATGGACTTGGGGGTAGAGGGGTGTCTAGGAACCTTGTGGAACTAGCTGCTAAATTTTGTGCATAAATATTTCAGGGAGGAGAGCCTGGAGCATTCACTATATTCTTAAAGCAGTTTTCGACCCACCAGTTTACATGAAAACAGATGCCCAGTCAGGGTGCCATGGTTACCCTGTGCTGGAGCATCGGCCAGGGAAAAAGGACACAGATCCCAGGAGGCTGCATATCCTGTGACTTGGATGCTGGAGGGAATCCGCCAGACCACTTGTGAAGTGTGTGGAAGAGGGAATGGAATAGAGTGGAAACTGACCTTCCCTGAGCATGCCGAAGGCAAACTGTCAAGCGTGACGTGGACACGTAGGAGGAGGACTGACTGAGTTTGGAATGAAGTGGAGGCCAGGGACACTGCTAAACATTTTATAGTACACAGTGCAGTCCTCCACAACAAGGAATCATTCAGCCCGATAGTGCTAGGGTTGAGAAACCCTGTTCTAGACTTTTGCCTCTATACATGTACCCCAAATAGAACAAGTTGGAATAGGTTTTTCTTCTCCACCTGTGTTCCCTGTTTCCGTCAGTGGCCCTGCCCGCTCCTTCTCCCTTACCCCACATCTGAGCCAAGCCCACAGAGTCCCCGTCTGTCACATCTTTGGCAGCTATCCCTTCTTCTCTCCCCCAGTGTTGACACTGATGACCACTGACCCAAACTAATGAAAAGGCCTCCAACAGGCCCTTCACATCAGGTCTCCTGTTTGGCCTTCCCTGTGTCACCGGTGTGCTTGGGGACCGTCCATAGACCTCTGCTTCCTGTTCAATTAATTCCACGCCTGGTAGAGACCAAGCTCCCTGAGGGCAGCAGCTTCCGTGTCTGATTCATCTGTATGCCTAGCCAGAACCTGACACCATTCTAAGCACAAAGTCAAAGTCAACCCTGGCTCAATTAATTTTTGTTGAATGTGTATGGATGAATGGTTGAATGAAAAGAAATTTGAAAAACATTTGTCCTCACGATTTCCTCACGATCTGTCTTTGCAGATCCTTAGTGAATGGTTTGGCCGGACCATCATCCGCTCCTGCACCAAACTGAGCTATGAGCACGCACAGAGCATGATTGAAAGCCCAACTGAGAAGATCCCTGGGAAGGAGCTGCCCCCCGTTTCACCAGAGCACGACAGTGAGGAGGTACACCAGGCTGTCTTGAATCTCCACGGAATTGCACAGCAGTTACGTCAACAGCGCTTTGTAGACGGTGCACTTCGTTTGGACCAGGTCAGTATTTTTTTCAGTGAAACCAGTGATCCCAGTGTAGGCGAGAGGCAGCATGGAAGCCTTGGGTTCTTCCTTCCTTTCCTTGCCCCAGGCACTCCACTGAAACCGTGTTCTCTGAGGCCAATAGGAACTAACTCCCACCCTCGGTCCAAGCTCCACAGACACACAAGGCTTAATGATGTGAGCCCAGGCAAAAGGGTGGCCTCTGTGGGAGGGTGTCTCTGTGACCAAAACCCCCAGCTGGTCTTCCCTGGTAAGGCTATGTCCAGAATGTGATCCTCACCTCAGGGTTCTCCCCCAAATCCATTTTAATGGAGGCGGGAACAGGGGATACGGAAATTTAGGAGGCAGCTGGCCAGTATCTGATCCTCAGGCTTAAAAGAAATATTTCTTCTTATCCCTCATCTTCCAAAAAGTTATTTGTTTATAAATTCCAGATTACTATCGAAAGAAGCAGAGAACTGAGGAGACTGTAGAATGTTGGCTGTTGAAGAGCACGTTGGCCTAGAATGGCGTTGATTGATTCTCAAATACCACAGCCATGCTGACCGGCCTCTGGGACTCAGGCAGCTGTCACTTAAACCTGCCTGAAGTTCCATGTGTGACAGTTGATAGCTGTTGGGATCCAGGAATTCTTTTTTCATTGCTTGTCAGTACATTACAGAGTGGAGCTTGTGTTTCTTATTATGGAATTGTTTTCTCTTTCATTTATGTTTCTTATGCAAACTCTCCTTCCCTGGTTGTTGTGTGCTGAGGGAAGTCTCCGTTTCTGAAAAATGAGGCGGGCAGCAGCGGCTGCTGGGATTGGCTGGTGGAGCTTTTCATCAGGCTTTTGGCACAGCTCGCCTTATGGAGACTTCTTTCTTCAGGCCTTTCAACTGAGAGAGATCTGAAAGGCCTTGTTTCAAAGCCTTCTTGTTGAAGTTCTGATTTCATCCTACATTTTGCAACAAACTTGCACAAATGCTTCTTGGTGGAAGTTGCATGTAGGTGCTGCCCTGGGCCTAGGAATAAATTAACTGCTCTTGGGGCAGTGAATCATCTGTCTTGCCTGTGCTTGGCAGAGTCAGGGTAGCTTCTGGAGCTCTCCCACTCCTCCTTCCTGGGCCTGGGCTCAGGCAGCCCAAGCAGGCCTGTCCATGTGAGAATGCTGATGGGGACACAGGAGGCACAGTGCACGATGAAGAAGACAACAGGCGGCAAAAGAGGGACCAAAGGCATCAGAGATTACAGAATATCTCCTTTCCTTCCTTCAAGGAAATCACTTCTGGGGGTGTAAACATACTCTGATTCTCACTTACCAGTAGCCACCTGGTTGTCAAGTCCAAGGTCGCTTTACAGTTCTTGCTTCCTAGACTTCTGTCCTGCTCTGGGTTTTTTGAAGCCCACCTCCTTGTTCTCTGTTTCTCTTTGTACATCTGCAATAATGTCCTGCTGGCCCCCTTTGCAGAAGCCTCTTCCTCTGCTCACCACTTCAAGATTGACATTCCCTGGGATCTACCCCACCTTCCTTCTTTCTCTGTCCACATTCCCACCTTGAATGAATTCCTCTACTCTCGTGATTTTAACTACTAACTAGATGCTAATGAGCCATAATCTGTCTCTCTACCCTTGACCTCCCTCCCCCAGCTACAGTCCAGCCTCGCAGTTATCTCTGCCAGTGCTCATCCTTCTTCTGCAAAGCACAGTGATCAGGCCTGTGCACACCATACAGGCTGTCTAGCACCCCCTGCTCCCTCTGCTGCCACCAGGGGAATTGTGTGTGTGTTCCCTATGCCAGTTGTACATGTTGTAATTATGCAGTTTAAATATTAAGTAAACTAATCAAATACAAACATAAAAAAGAGAGCGGTTTTTATAAAAACTAAGTTAAGTGTTAACATAGGTAAGGATAAGTCTTTAAACATTCAGTTGTTTAGGTAAGACAACTGTAAAAGATGGAAAATCATAAAATCAGGAAGCATCCTATACTCAAATTGCCTTATAAACAAGTTCTCATTCTCTTTTAAAGAAACAAAAATGGTAAGTAATAGGCTGGACGTGGTGGCTCACGCCTGTAATCCTAGCACTCTGGGAGGCTGAGGCAGATGGATCATCATTTGAGCTCAGAAGTTTGAGACCAGCCTGAGCAAGAGCGAGACCCCGTCTCTTCTAAAAAAAATAGAAAGAAATTAGCTGGACAGCTAAAAATATATAGAAAAAATTAGCCAGGCATGGTGGCGCATGCCTGTAGTCCCAGCTACTCAGGATGCTGAGGCAGGAGGATTGCTTGAGTCCAGGAGTTTGAGGTTGCTGTGAGCTAGGCTGACGCCACGACACTGTAGCCCGGGCAACAGAATGCGACTCTGTCTCAAAAAAGAAAAAAGAAACAAAAATGATAAGTAATAGACAGTGAATTATGAGTAGAATTTATTCAGAAAAGACTATGTAGAAATACAATTAGCATAATACTCTTTTTTAAAAAAGCCTTACGTTAAAAGAATCAGTGAATGAATGTACATGTGTATAAGTTAAAATGCTTAGTTATGTATGTATCTCTTCTGTATGGTTCTCTTCCTTTCCTAACCTCTAGAATAACTAACCAACTGCTGCTAAAGCTCATCAACTGAGAGGGCTTTTGTTATAGCATTTTAGAGACCTTACTGCCCAGCAGGTTTTTGTAACCTTCAATTGAATGAACTATATGAAATACTCTTAAAAACTACCAAAGACTGTCAGGTGATCCCAACTTGTACTAAGAGGGTATGGTAGTCAAGATAGAAGAATGATCACAGATTATTGATAGATAATGATCTTTTGGCATGTCTTAGAGTCAGAATTTTATTGCTGAAAATGACTTTGGATATAAATATCACATTGCCCCCTCAGTTTATAAACTAGGAAGCTGAAGCCCCTAAAGGTTAAATGAATTGCTTATATGCAAGAAATCCAAATAGCTCTTTTTTCACTTTTTCTCCATTTACACCATACTGACTTAAGAGAGAAAAAAAAATTCCTTTCAACTAGGAAAAAAACCCCTCAAAAGTCCTAATTGGATTCCAGTTAATTAAGTTTGAAAATAATGGACTTGTGTCCTTGGAGGTGACTCCTTGGTTCCCCAGTAAACAAGTCTGTGGACCCCAGCTTTTGGAGGAAGAGCACATCAATCTCCTGCAGCAGAGGACACTGGTGAGACCATTTATGAATCAGCTAAACGGTCCTATTCATTTGTTCTCCTGTCCCTACCGCCTGTTTTTGCCCTCACAAAAGTCCACTTTTCCTTGGTGTGTTTTGAGTAACCTGCTGTTTGGAGTTGCTCTCTGAAGCTTTGTTTGCCTCAGTTCACTATGTCCGTGTTTTTGGTGGCAGTCCTAAGAAAAACAGGTCCTGTTACACTAGCCTCAATTAGAGACCAGTCTGTGAGAGGGGACACCATCCATATCATACATTATTCCCTTGGACTCGGTAAGTCTGCTAAACCACAAGTTTCACCCTTTAAAGAAGTCAGTTTACCGGGATGACCTTCAGGATGCATGGGGTAGAGTACATGGCTCTAGCACAGTGCCTGTTGGTTGATTCAGAGATGCACTAGTTCAGAAGCTACAACCTCAGGAATGCGGAGCAGCTTCACCACTGGGTGTTTACAGGCAGCCACTAAGGCCAGAGCTGCCTAGTGGTTGTTTGAGATAGTGAGCCTCAGCCCTCAGGGCCACCTGGGCTGGCTCCAGTCCCCAGGGGGCCACCTACTAGCAGTCTTGTCTTATAACCCTAGTTCACTGTCACATATGTCACATATGAGCAAGTTCTCTCAGTACTGTGATAGGAAATAGTATTCCCCTTGAGGTGGAATTACCTGCTCCAAATGTTTCTTTTACTTAGAGCTCGAACCCAGTTCTAAAGAGGCTCAAGTTCTCTGTCTTAGCCACGGCCTTCAGAAAGGATACCAAGGGAGGGTAGCAGGTGCCAAAAGAACCCCAATAGGAAAATGTATTAGGAATATTGATTAAGTTCAGGAAACTACATCTACTGCTTTTTGGGGTACAGTCTCTTTCTCTTCATTCGGGTGGCAGTACTTAGAAAGAGGCCACTCTGTGTGAGAGCTTCTGTGTGAAACAGGGACAAGGCCTGCAGCAGGC